GTGAATAGGCATTCACTTTTTGAATAATAAGAATTATATGTCATGGGGGGGGGCATCAGGATTTAGAGATGCTTAGGTGGGGCCTGGCCAATGAAAGGTTGGGAACCACTCCTGCACCATTTGGATGTCCCTGGCCGGCCTTGGCTGTCTCACCTTGCACTAAGAACCTACGGGATCTGAAAGGGGAGCCTGAGTGCTCGCTTCAGCAGCACATACAAATATACTAAAATCGGAAAGATACAGAAAAGATTAGCATGGCCCCTGCGTAAGGATGACACGCAAATCCGTAAAGCGTCCCGTATTAAAACAAACAAAAACAAAGGGGAGCCTGAGAGCCACTCTACACGTGGCCTCCTCTGCTCCTCGTATGAGTGAACAGTGTCTCTATCTGTTCAGTTGCTAAGCCAGAAACCTGAGAGACTTCCTTGCTGCCTCCCACTCTCTCAACTCCCAGTGCCAAACCGTTGCTAAGTCCCATGGCTCCTGCATGCAAAACATACTTTAATCCTACCTCTTCTCCCATTTCCACCTTGTCAGCCCGTCAGAGCCACCACATCTCCCACCTGAAACTGCTGCCTAACCAGTCCCTGTTTCCTTTTCGCCCCTCCCCTCTCTCCCAACAGCTGCCAGAGTGGCCTTTCTAAAACATTACTCAGAGCATTAAAACACAACAGGTAAAATGGAGGTCACACTACTGGACGGGTAAAAGGAAGAAGGAGAAGACCAAGGAGAACCCCTTCAAGGCACAGACCTAAGCTTGATGATTCAAGTGAAAAAGTAGAGAGACCTGGAGGGCAAGTCCAAAACACCTAATATGCAAATACTAGGAAATGCAGGGGGAGAAGGGGGATCAGGTAAAGACATTATAATCACACAGACATGAAGGAGAATGCCCTTGAGATGAAAAAATGGCTCACCAAGCCTCAGATAGGATTATTTAACAGGCCACACATATAACAGGCCTCCCCAGCTCTATCCAGATGCTAGTGAAATGCCCGAATTCCAGGAAGGAAGAAAAACTCTTGCCAGCTTCCAAAGTCAGGAATAGGCTTTCTTACAACAGAAAGAAGGTCATCAGAACTCTGGAAGCAAGAAGACAGTGGCCAGCCCTGACCAGTTTGGCTCAGTGGATAGAGTGTCGATCTGCGGACTGAAGGGTCCCAGGTTCGATTCTGGTCAAGGGCATGTACCTTGGTTGTGGGCTCATCCCCAGTAGGGAGTGTGCAGGAGGCAGCTGATCGATGTTTCTCTCTCATCAATGTTTCTAACTCTCTATCCCTCTCCCTTCCTCTCTGTAAAAAATCAATAAAATATATTTTTAAAAAAGAATACAGTGGCTTGTGGCACAAATGGAGCATTGAGAAGAAAGGCCTAAGATCCAAGGGCTCCATGCCAGCCAAACAGTACCTGTCTATGGTGGCCACATAAAGACATTTTTGGTCATTAGAGTACATCTAACTCATGTACCTTATTGGAAGAGAAAAAGAAGTTCTCAAAGGAAGTGACTACAACAGCTCAAGGGAGGGAAGGCAAAGGAAGTGTAAATGGTGATGAGCCACAGTTTGTAACATATATAGTTAAACATGAAATGACAGAGACACTGTGATTGGGAGTTTGTAATCTTAAGTGTTACTTTAGCATTCCGGAAACATAAGCAACCTACTATAAAGAAAAGATAATGATAGCCTGGAATTAAAAAAGAAACAAAAATTACCGTCTCAGCAAAACCCAGAAGTTAAGGGTTAGGGATCAGAAGAAGAATTAGAATTAAAAGTGTTCCAGCCCTGGCCTGGTATCTCAGTTGGTTGGAGCATCGTCCAGATATGCCAAGGTTGCGGGTTCCATTCCCAATTAGGGCATACAGGAAGCAACCAATGAATGTATAAACAGGTGAAACAATAAATCTCAATCTCAGTCTCTCTCTCTCCCTCCCTCCTTCCCTCCCTCCCTCCCCAAAAATCAATTAAGAGAAAAAGTGTTCCAAAGCTTTCATTTCAAGGGCCAGGAAGGGTGGGAAACACTGGACGAGAAAAGTAAGTGGCCTAAAGATTTCACTGTCGCCCTAGCTGGTTTGCCTCAGTGGATAATGCGTCGGCCTACAGACTGAAGGTTCCCTGGTTCAATTCCAGTCAAGGGCACATGCTGAGTTGCAGGCTCAATCCCCAGTAGGGTGCATGCAGGAGGGAGCCAACCAATGATTCTCCCTTATCATTAATGTTTTTATTTCTCGCTCATCGATGTTTCTGGCTCTCTGTCTCTCTCCCTTCCTCTCTGTAAAAAATCAATAAAATGTATTAAAAAAAAAAAGGATTTCACTGTCAATTGTGTAAAAAAGCATAAATCCAGCTATGGGGTTTTTTTATGAGAGATATACCTAAAACTAGGTGACAAAAAATGAAAATTGAAGAAACCTGAAGGAATACCTGGCAAACACAAACAGAAAACAAGAGCAGCAATGTTAATTTCAGAAAAAAAAACACCACTCAAGGCCAAAAACATTACAGGAAAAAAGAGACAGTCTTATATAGATTTTAAAAAGAAAGAACCCATTGGGTAAAGGATTTGTACAAGCACAAACTCATCTAGTGGCAAAACCTGATCTGAACTGACATGAGACTATATATAGTCTTTATGTAACCCACTGAGTGTGAATATACATACATTTCCCCGAAGAAACGCCCAAGTATTTTATTACAGGGTGTTGCCTCAGGCCCTGCATCTGGTATTGCATAACATATGCTGTACAGACTACATTTCCTCATCATAAAATTGTCAAACTTCCCAAACCTAAAATTAATACATAAATGCTGCGTAATGCCAATCGGAAATGCAATGGGGTTTTTCCTGGAACTGGATAAAATTATTTTAAGGTTCATATGAAAGAATTCACAGTTAAGGATAGTTAAAGAAAAGAAGAGTCATGAAAAAGAATAGTGGAAGGATGGCAATGCTGGACTTATTAATATTTATCACAAAAGTACTATGATAAAAATATGATGTTAGCATAGCAATAGAGAAAGAGAGCCAATTGGTGGAATGCCATAGAAAGCCCCAAAATAATTCCAAGTACACATGGGAACTCTATATTGACAAAAATGGCATTTCAAATCAGTGTAGAAAAGGTGGTTATTTAAAAAATGACGCTGCCCTGGCTGCTGTTGCTCAGTTGGTTGGAGCGTCATCCTATACAACAAAAGCTGGCAGGTTCCACTCCTAGTCAGGGCACATACCCAGGTTGCAGGTTCAATCCCTGGTCAGGGTGCATGCAGGAAGCAACTGATTGGTGTTTCTCTTTCATCTCTCTCTCTCTTAATAAATATTAAATAAATAACATGTATAAATGATGTTGGCATAATTGACTATTTGGAATTAAAAAAAAATCTATGTCTAGTTATCAGAATGTTGACAGAGTAGAGATTTACATATAAAAAGAAAATAATAAGCATATTATGAGATATAGGGGAAGGTGTTCCAAATTAAGAGGAGAAACTCAGAAATCATAAAGAAATAGGTATCCTATATAATAAAACCCTAATATGCAAATTGACCAAATGGTGGAACAGACCTATGATGCGCACTGACCACCAGGGGGCAGATGCTCAACACAGGAGCTGACCCTGGTGATCATTGTGCTTCCACAGGGGGAGTGCAGCTCAGCCAGAAGTTGGGCTCATGGCTGGCTAGTGCAGTGGCGGTGGTGGGAGCCTCTCCAGCCTCTGCAGCAGCGCTAAGGAGCAGGGAGTCGAGCAGTAAGGAGCAGTGAGCAGGCGGGTGGTAAAGAGCGAGGGGTCCCGGACTGCAAGAGGAATGTCTGACTGCTAGCATGTGGACATCCCCCGAGGGGTCCCAGACTGTGAGAGGCGCAGGTTGGGCTGAGGGACTGCCCCCACCCCCATGCACAAATTTCGTATACTGGTCCTCTAGTATATGTATGTATAAGACTGCATCCAAATTTTAATTTTCCAGGTGCATTTGTTTTAACTTTTTTTGTATTACCTTTCTATTCTGAGTTCAATAAATAGTTTCATAATTTCAAACTTCAATGTTTCTAATTTACACCTTTCTTTACTATATTTTACGAAAAAGGTAGAAACATTAATACATATATCTTTCTGTTTAATTGCTATTAAAATTTTAAAAAAAATTAATTTCCAGGGGGCGCTGAGTAATATTTTTTCTGGAAAGGGGGCGGTAGGCCAAATAAGTTTGGGAACCACTGTGATAGAACAAAAGGTAAGCTGGGGAAAAACATTTGCAATTCATCTAATTGAAAGAAGATTCTTTTTTTTAAATACATTTTTATTGATTTGAGAGAGGAAAGGATAGGGAGAGAGAGATAGACACATCAATGATAAGAGAAAATCTACAGATGAATGAACCAGGAGGTCATGGTTCAATTCCTGGTCAGGCCAATTTGAGGTTGTGGGCTTGATCCTCAGTAGGGGGCGTGCAGGAGGCAGCCGATCAACGGTTCTCTCTCATCACTAATGCTTCTATCTTTCTCTCCCTCTCCCTTCTTCCCTGAAATCGATAAAAATAAATTAAAAAAATAAATACAACTGCCATTATCACATTGCTATATTTACATATTATAATTGAAACATATCTATAGCTCTATTGTTATACTGCATTGTACAATTATATATTACTAGATTATATGCTACAATAATAAATATAATTATTTTACTAGAGCTAATACTTTTTGAGTATTTACTATGTAGCAATGCACCGTTACAGGTATTTTACATGAATTTCCCTGTTTAATCCTCTCGATAGCCCTAAGATACCATTATCTCTACAGGTAAAGAAATTGAGGCCCAGTGGCCAACCCAGAACTTGGAATGAGGCTACTTTGCTCCCTAGACGACGGTGAGGGAGTGTTATTGCAAGGGTGGCATCATCCGATAGGGACAGGGCAGGTCCCAGAGCAGTGCCCCCCAGGACACTAAGTACTCACTGTCCTCAGTGGGCCGAATATCTACACGCAGCTGCAGGTAAGGTTTGGAGGCAGTGGCGAAGGCTGTGCTGAGGTCCCAGTCAGACAGGAGTGAGAGGTAAGCTTCCTGCCCCAGCCGATCCCGGCCCAGGTAGCTGATGCCAAAGTTCTTCTTCCTGGACATGGGAGGTGCGGCAGCTCTCAGTGCCCCGGAGGCCTCAGGGACAGTTTCCAAAAGAACCAGGGGAAGGTAAATGGTGTTGATTGACAACAACTTTCTACTAGGTGCTAGATATTGTGCTAAGGATTGAGGGCAGATCCCTCATCTCTACTTGGTAACACAAACACAGAAACACACACACACACCTGCTTGTATCTGGAGGACACACTGGAAACTGGTAAAATGTTGGTACCCTCTAGGGAGGGTAACAGGGTAGTTGAAGGGTAGAAGTGGAAAGAAAGCAGCCTTCTTACTGCATAAAAAAAGCAATCTGTATGATCGTCATTTTTCACAACAAAAGATGTTTATGAAAAAAAGTCAAATGACAACTAGGAATTTGTTCTCAGATACATTTGTGTAACTATGCAAAGAAGTATGTTGTGTGACAACTACTGTAACCATGAAAACGTCCTAAATACCCATTACTTTGGCACACTTTGAGTTTGTTACCATGTGCTTGTATTCCTCCAAAATAACCACCAAAACAAAATAACCATCACACTGCCCCCAAGAGACCCCACTTTTCATCTATCAGGTTGGCAAATTTTCCAGTATTTTATAGGAACCCGTGTTTGTGAGGGTGTGAGGGAAACAGATATTTTATATGCTTCTGGTGAGTCTGTAAATTGGTAAAACCTGTCAGGAGAGCATTTTGGAACCACCCATTGAAAATTTACAAAGCATACGCCCTTTAATCCAGCAACAACAGTGCTAGGTGGCTGTGCACTGTGGGGTTATTTATAATAAAACAAGCAAATCACCTATCAAACAACAACAATGAAAATGCCAATCAGTCACTGTTGAGGTGGGTAGCTCACTGGTCAGTCACCAGCATCCCCTTACTCACCCATTCAAGTCAAATGCTCGGATGAGGATGTGCTGCAACACATCGAGTGAGGTGATCTGGGGGTCAACAGCAAAAGAGCGGAACTCAGGTGGCAAGAAGCTCTCACATTTCTGGGGAGAGAAGACCCAGGGGAGGCCATCAGGGGTTATATCACCATGCTGAAGCAGAGGGAGCAAAAGGAGGCAAGGTCAGAGGTGTGGTGGGGGCCAGATCAAGGTGGGCATCCTGGACTATGGTTTTGCTCTGAGGCGGTAGCATTGGCAGGGTTCTGAGCAGGGGAAGAATGTGGTCTGACTTTAGATTTACAGGATCCTCTGGCTTCTGTGCTTGGGACAGAGTGTGGGGTGCAAGGGAGAAAGCAGCAGTCTAGTGAGGAGGAGGCTACTGCAATGGTCCAGACACCCAATCTTTCTTCTATATTCCCTCAACGATGGTTGTCAGGATCACCATGTCCAGTCTGGCCTCTATTAAATTCGTCCTCCATGCTGCGACCAATCTAGCACATGGAGCTACAACACTCCTCTGCTTAAATATCTTTTTAAGAAAAACATTTTTATTGATTTCAGAGAGCAAAGGAGAGGAAAAGAGAGATAGAAACATCAATGATGAGAGAGAACCATTGACTAGCTGCGTCCTGCACACCCCCTACTGGGGATTAAGCCCACAACCCGGGCCTATGCCCTTGACTGGAATTGAACGCGGGACACTTCAGTCCACAGGGTGACGCTCTATCCACTGATCCAAACTGGCTAGGGCTTAAATATCTTTAAAGGATCCCCAACAGGTGGGCCTATAGGACCCCAGCCTCCTCTCTCCCATCAGCTATTTTGTCTGTGTTTTTTTCAATCCTCACCCAAGGATATTTTCCATTGATTTTTTATTTTATTTTATTGATTTCTTACAGAGAGGAAGGGAGCGGGATAGGGAGTTAGAAAAATTGATGAGACAGAAACATCGATCAGCTGCCTCCTGCACACCCCCTACTAGGGATGTGCCCGAAGCCAAGGTACATGGTCTTGATGGGAATCGAACCCGGACCTTTCAATCCGCAGGCCGACGCTCTATCCGCTGAGCCAAACCGTTTAAGGCTCCATTGATTTTTAGGGAGTGGAAGAGAGAGGGAAAGACAGAAACATCGATGTGAGAGAAACACATCAATTGGTTGCCTCCTGCACGTGCCCTGACCAGGGCCTGAGCCGGGGAGGAGCCTGCAACCCAACAGAGGAACATGTCCTAGACCGGAACTGAACCTGGGACCCTGGGACCCTTCGGGCAGGTCTGCAGGCCAACAGGCTGTCCACTGAGCCAAACCGGCTAGTGCCCATCAGCTTTTTTTCCCCATCAGCTTTTTTGACCTTTACACTCGTACTGCCAAATTGCTGTAAGTGTACTTCTCTCCAGAACCTACCCACTTCTCAGCACCACCAGCGCCACCACCTTAGTCTGAGCCACCATCACTGCTTGCTGGGACTAGTGCAACAGCTTTCTTACTCAGAGCACACTTCAAAGGCCCTTCACAATCTGGCCCTCTCACCTCTCCGATTCACCGTCATCCACTCTTCCCCTCGCTCTCTCCAGGGCTCCAGGAATATGGGAACCTAAGGGCACAGGCCAAGCTCATCCCCACCTCCCAGCCTTTGCCCTTGCTGTTCCCTTTGCCTAGAACACCCATCCCCACCCCCCACCCCCACACGCACAGGCTGACTCCTTGCAATTCGGGTCTCTGCTCCTTCAATACCTTCCTGGGGATTTCCCTGTACAACCTTGGCTACAGTAACGCCCTAGTGGAGAACCTTTTTCAGCATTTCCTCATGACATTCACCAGTGTCCGAAGCATCTCATTTATTTAGCTGTTTGTCTCCCTCACCCGGTGGGGACCTGCACAAAAGTGCACTCTCAACACATATGTTAACTGACCTAGGCGCCTCCTTTTCAGACAGCACCCCCCCCCATCCTCAGGGACCCACTCCTCAACAAGGCCCCTCCTCCATCCCTACAGCCCCCCTTCTCCACCATAATCCCCATCCTGCCATTTTCAGTCTCCACGCCTTCCAGCCCTGGCCTCGCATTCCCACGTCCTGCCTGTTCCACCCCTGTCACTATTACCAGGCAGGCCCTCCAGCCTTGGCCCCCAGGTGACACCCCAAATCTCAGGTCCCGCCCTCCATCCTATGACAGTCACCGCCTTCTCCTCCCCTGGGAGCCCCGGGCCAGCTGGTTGAGCAGCAGCCGACCTCACCTTGACTCGGACCCGTACCACCTCTCGCTCCTCCTCCTCAGCCGCCGCCGCTTGGACTCCCCCACCAGGCGGGGGCGCCCCAGAGCCGGCCAAATCCGAGGACCCAGTGGCC